TGTATAGTAACAGATTTTTAATTCTGCAGATTGTTTTTTGTGCCCTGTGTAGGAGTAGACTTTTATATTTCCTCATCTCTTCTGCCTCCACTAAGTCTCCAATAAAATGCATTTCATTACAAATGTGTATGATGACAAGCAGCACATCTTCACTTCCTCTTCTGTAATGCAATGCTAAAGTGCTCCTCGTAGTGCAGTTTAATACATAATACAATCACAACACATAAAGAGCCATTCACAGCTGCACTGGGTCAGTGTTCTCACTGCAGTTTAGTTTATCATCTGCATTTAAAAAGGAGGCAAATTAATTCACTAGTACAAAGCAAATCACTGCAATGGTAGGTGCATACAGTATGTTGGGGTCAAAGCTGGGTGAATAGATTAACTGCACCTATTTATATAACATATTTCACACAGTCTTCAAAGTCTGATGTGTATTACATCTGAATATGTTATATACACATATATTGAGCATCCAAAGAGACAAATCTCTCTGTTCATGCAGTTATGGGTTTAGAAAAATAAAGGGTATGGACTTTGGTGATTGATTAGGTGTCTTTAGTGTTGCATTAGTGCTGAATGACATGATTAGTAAGGGAGTTTGTTGGCCACGGATGAAGAGGAGGTGATTTATCCAGCTGAATGTCAAGTCTGGTAACATTCAAGACAGAAAACACTGGAGGTAAATAATACACCCTGCTTGTCAAGGTAATGGGTCAGCCAGAATGGAGCAGTGGAGCAGAGTCCTCTTTACTGATGAATCACAGTTGTGTAGAACACAACTACACATCACCAACTGTGGCACTGCTGTTCAAAACCATCGTCTGACTGTTGTTCAAAACAGGCTGACCAAAGGGAAGGTCCAAGTGTGCTGGTTTGGAGATTGTTGGCAACCCGGCTTTGCCATGTCACATCACAGCGTGAAATCCTAGGTCCTCACTTGTCTTTTCTGTAGGCTCTCCTAGATGTGAACACATTCCAGCAGGACAACACATGCCCCTGTAATTCTTATACAGTGTCAGAGACGTTATGCTTTGCATGCCTTATTTTCCAGACTTCAGTCTCATTGCACATATGGGGAGTGACATGGCCAGCAGAAAGACACATATTTGTCCAGAATCTAGGAGAGGAAAGAGACAGATTCCTACAAAACATCTAAAACCTGGCGCAAAGCATGTGTCCCAACAAGCTGCACACCTGAGGCTTTCACAGTTTACCCCCCCCCCCATTGACGAGCCCTGTTGCTGACAAATGTTCATCAGTATGACGTAATTTACCCATCAGGTATGGTCAACAAAAATATCAGTGCACCTGCTAGAAATAAAGATTTTGGCAGTTTCCTAACAAGTTTGTACATTCTTGCAGTCATAGCTACTACATTTCCTTTGATGCTGAATCAAAACAGTGTCCCGCAAGAGACAGGGCAGATCTGCCACTAGCCTGATCCCGTGCAGAGGAAATGTTTCTTCTCAGGTCATGGCCATGACAGGATCAATCCGCCCCTGCAGGAAGCATACCTGTTCTGTGTCTGGGTGCATGTCCTGAATATGTGAGAAACGTGTGGGTGCCTGTCTACTGCACTAAAAATGAGAAACGCAGAGAGTGAGAGGTGAAAGGAAAAAAGAATAGGAGAGGAAGGAGTGGGAGAGAGTAGGTGTCGAAAAAGAGTGAAAATGCTGAGAGGATGCCATTGAGTATAGTGAAAGGAAGGGAAGAGGAGATAAAAAGTTTCTCTTGTGACTTCAATAGTGAAAGTTCTAGGGTTTAAAAATATACTTGTATAAAAACAAAAAATTACTATTTAAATCTTCATCTCTGTCAGTGCCATAATCATGTAAATGAAAATTAAGTCACCATAGGATACTAAGGCAGTTTCAGTCACAGGCTTGTGGAACCTTACTGCCTTGCCATGTGCTGCAAATTATTTTGCTTATGTATGACTCTCAGCACAGGATACTTAGACAATTAAACAGCCCGAGGGACAGTCTGTGTAGATAGGAGTGACATACAAAAACACCAAGATGGAAAAGAGACTGATTTCTCTCCTTCTGTGCAAAGACTTTTCAAGCTATTGGTTGCCGAACTGTTTGTGTGTCTTTGTAATGCACACTTGAGCTTTTGGAATACTTTTCCCTCCATTGTTGGTTTTAGAAAATCTACGAAAAACAAGCAAAAAGGTGACAGAGCTCGTCAGTGTCTTATCAGAGCAGTGAGTGAGAAGCTGCTGTTTGCTCTCTAATTCTTCAGCATTTTGCTCAGGCAGTGTGCACCACAGTTCTAATCTACTGGTATATGGTGTTAATTTGAGCCTAAATTGCTATTTATTTTCTTTCATCCATGTAGAACTTCTTCTCTTGCACCACCAGCTGCTGAAGGATTTGGGTTCCTGAGTTTATCCTAGTGCTGACGCTGCGTTATTCTTGAAAAGCCCGCCTGATGTGCCCAGACAAAATACTTTGGTAATTGATGCGATTTATATAAATGTGCAACAGCTGACTAAGGCTTTTGGCCATCTGATCTGATGGACATGTGTGTTAAAATCTTCTCCGGTATATTAAACCTCCGTTGACCAAGATTACTTCATATTTTATCTATCAATATGACAACAGACCCTTTTTGTGCATTGGGTAGAGCAGATCATCAGTATGTACTGCATAGTATAAACAGTATGAAGGGGGGGAGGTGAGTATCCTACAAGCATTCATTTGTGTGTACAGTATGTAACTGATATTGAACTAGATAGTCAGCTGTCCTGGACATTCAGAATTACCCACATCAGTCCAGTGTGATCAGTGTGATGTTGTAGAAATTATTAACTGTCATTTTGATGCTATTTTAGATTTATTTTTTGTTTTGCTCATTTTTTTTCAATATTCCAGAAAGAAGAAAATTAAAATGTATGTTTATTAAGCTACAAATGTATTGAAATGTCTGAACCAATTCAATTTTCCTGATGTAAGCCCTAATTAGGAACATAATTAGGAAAACAGAGATGATTTTTCTCATACATTCAGAATTGTCTCAAATGTATGTACTTAATTTCTAAATATTTGCATCACTTACTGTGGGCTTCGTTTGTATGTGCACAACTAAAAAACAAATATTAATTAATAAACAGGGACGTGTTAGCACACTATGGTTTTATAGAAAAGCGCCTGCTTACTTTTCATCAGGAGAAGGTCAGTGTCAACTTTAAAGTTAACATAGTCGAATTATCAAAATGATGTGGTATATAGGCATATTTATAGAGCAACATTTCCTAATTATTTGTGTGATTTGAATAAATATATCTCCCATAATACAGGGTTATTTAGGATTCTTATGGGATTCTTAAGTTCATAGGCTTCATTACATATTCCTCGTGTTCAAAATTTCAGTCTTGATCCTGTTAAAATTCTTCTTGGCTTAGATTTTGAGGATCAGCCAGATTTTCACAGATGTCGCAGCACTCCGCTGCATTGCTTTGATTGTGTTAAAAAGTAAAAGCCCTAAAGTGTAAGAATGTCAAAACAGACCCTGCTTGGAAGTATTTTCTCTGGAGGGTAGCTAGAAAAATGAGCTGCATTCTGTCATTTTTATCCAAAGTCCTTGCAGTATATTTTGCAGAACATTGCTATACTGTGATACTGTGATTGCTATACTGTGTAGAATGTGCTGTACCCTTGTACTCTGTCTCTATATGCTGCAAAATGAGCTGTACCCTGGCGCTCAGTTCCTATACTGTGTAGAATGTGCTGTACTGTGGTGCTCAGTCTCTATGTGCTGTAGAATGCACTGTACTGTGGTGCTCAGTCTCTATATGCTGTAGAATGTTCTGTACGGTGGTGCTCAGTCCCTATACTGTGTAGAATGTGCTGCACTGTAGTGTTCAGTCTCTAGATGCTATAGAATGTGCTGTACTGCAGAGGTCAGTCTCTAGATGCTATAGAATGTGTTATACTGCAGTGTTCAGTCTCTAGATGCTATAGAATGTGAAGTACTGTGGTGCTCAGTCCCTATACTG